TTGCTTTCTGTGATGTAGTTAGTCTTTTCTTCTTGCTTTCAGTGACATACTCGTTTATATTGAAAGTTTTCAACTCTCCTTCACAAACAATCATGTCTGTTAGAAAATAGCACTTCTCTGCTACAATTAGATTAATTCAAAACAATATTTTCCTTTGTCAATTAGTTGGTCCTTTACAAACTAGTGGATAACAATGGAGACTGATCAAGTGTTAAATTATACAAAATCAGAAGTTTTGTGTCCCTATTAATGCCTTAGCATGTAATATTAAACTTTCATTTTACAATGCTAGAATTGCTGAGCTTGACATTAGGCATAAATCAACAGATTACTTCCTGTTTATTCAGTAGGCTTTGTTACAAATACCAAAGTGAAACCTGGCATTTTTTCTCTTTGACATGGTGTAGTAGTTAGCAAGCTACTCTTACTGCCTAATACAAGCTGGGAGGGGTTTTAATAATCAGGGTGGATCAGAATCTTTCTCATTATGCAATAAACAAGGGGGTCTTAATAAAAGGCAGGGTCAAAGAGCACAAAATAAATGGGATGATCTTAAGTTCAGTGTGGTTGGAAAAATTCCTAAAATAAATTTCCCCTCACAATTTATTATGCATTTAAGAGTAGTCTTGTAGACTACAGTAATAAATTTAATCCTCATAGAGAAGATTAGATATTATATAGCAGTTCAGCAATATTTTATTTATTTTCTAATGAAATTTTCCTATCTCTTAATACTTTGTTTATTTTATCGAAGGCATTTTTCCCTATTTCAATGTACATTCAGATTTCTGTGTCAAAATTGTTTTCATCTCTCTTCTTAGTTCCTGTTCTGTTATGTAGTGATTTCACAGTGGAGGCTTGTATTTGTACTAAGTCAGTCCTAAAATAGGTTCGACGTACAAAATGTTAGGAACTTGATATAATAGGTAATGACGCAGTAATCTAGTTGTGGTGGCACATACTTTAATATCCGACTAACGGTCGTCCGACATTGACCAACTCTCTGAGCAACTGCTACTACTACTCCTACTTATTATAGTTATAGGTGGGAGAGTCTATTAACTATAGAATAGGTGTGTTCCATTATAACATGTTATTTTGTTGTTCTCACTGTTTAATAATGTTTTCTTTTTCTTATATTCTTTCACACTCAGTAACCTCATGCATCTTGGTGGCTTTTTTGCATTGCTTGGGGTGAAATGATTAAAAAAAAAAGAAAATTTAAACTGGGAAAACTTCCTCTTGAGAGTCAGTTCCACAGAACAATGTTTGGGAGAAGAAGCTGTTCAAGTGGAACTCAATTCTCTCCAATGGAATACAGAGGGAATGAGAGTGGTTTGCTACAATGTGCGTAGCATGAAAGGTCCTAGCCATGAAGGTAAGGACTGGTGGAACTAAGGAATGTAGTTTTGTCTGAGCACTTTTTATGGAAGTAGCGATAGAGCAGTGAGAGGCTTACTATATCACATCTGTGAGACAGGGATTGCAGGGTGGAAATTAATTTGTCACCCTTAAGGATGTGGAGATGTTTTTGAATTCTACTGAGACTGGAAAGTGAAAACTGTGCAGCTCCTGCCCATAAGTGGACATTTTTTTTTATAAACAAGGCAAATTGAAACCATAGCAAAGATTTTCGCCACTTGAGAACTTCAAAGAAAATTATATAGCAACTGTACTCTATTTTAGGGCTGATCTGGCTCTTTTAATGGTAGAAGACAGCAGAGTCAGTTACTTAATAATAGAGCATTACAGGGAACTGGCCACTTTTCCTGCATCTTTAGCAATGAATCGTATGTATGAGTTCCACTTGAGGTCTGGGTTGAGTTTAAGGCCCAAATGTCACTCAAGGCACAAGACCCCCAGAGAGAACATCCATTCATCATGAATGGTAGTAGTTCAGGGTCCAATCAGTGATGATAGAAAGTAACTAGTTTGGTTGGATGGCTACTTGGGAATACCAGGTGCTGTAAGCTTGGATATGCGGTTGGTGTAGAATATAATGACTTGAAACTCTTAATCGGATAGCTGAGTTCCAATACCAGTTCAGGTCATTATATCTACTTACATGCAGATATCCTTGGGAAAGCTATGAATCCACCTCTTCTCCACCAGCTATGGGTTAATTAGTAAGTCATTGTTATCTCACAAAAATCTTTGCAGTCTAAAAAACTTATTTTCTGGTTTTAAATAATCTGCAATGAGTTGATAAGACTCAAAAAAACAAGCTCCAGCTCACACATAGAAGCAATGCTTCATTTTTAGTCTAATCTGACTCTTGTAAAGATAACGCATATCAAGAGGAGTCAGGTACTTTCTGGGACAATTCTTCTGGTGTCTTAACAAGGGATCATACATAGATATGTGGCTTCCCTTTGTCTTTTCTACAAGTATTTCCATGGCAACTGTTCTGATGTGCTTTTTTTTTTCTGGTGCCTCGACTACATGAATTTAAGCATGCTACTAGATTGGCAACTAGGTGTCATCGTTTTACTGTTGAACTAGCTAGATGGAACCACCATTTCTGCTCTAACAGTTTATTTTCTTACACTTCTTACCTGGTTTCTTTCTGATTTCTTGCTTCCCTGATAACTACAACCTTCCAAAATTTAAATGCAACATCTTCTGTCTTCTTAAGCCTTGTTCCTTTATTGTCTTTTCCTCAACCCTCCCCACTAAAAACTTCTCATTGTCTTTCATTGCCTGTAACCCCTGTATTCTCATGGTATTGTCACCTTGCATGAGAGAAACAATAAATAAATAAAAAATATGAGTTCCCCTTGAGGTCTGGAGTAAACTTGAGACTCAATAGATGTTTTCAAGCATGGAGTCTTGTTGAAAGTGCAACTGTTCATCATGACAGAAGAAAATTTAGGGTCAGATTCGTGATGATGACATGATACTAACTTGTAAAGGTAAAGCATGGCAGAAGGAGTTGGATACTTTCTGGAACGATAGAATAAACCGATCTACTTAAGCAGAAGCAATGTAAATTGTTGAAACAGAATGACACAAGTTCAGGAAGATTCAAAATAATTGGCTGGATACCAAGAGAAAATGAGAAGAATTCTTTTATGCACCAAATTCTTTTAACATGTTGGTGATCTGGCTCTCCAGATTTTTTTTTTACTCTATGTAACTTTGACCCTTTACTGTTCATCTTTGGCTCTGTTCTGCTGTACAAACTCATTAGATAGATAACTCGCTGCATCCTCTGCTTTTCTTACATTCTTTATGTCCTGTGAGTGTTAAATTCTGTAGTCCTTTCCTCACTGTGTGTCTCTTTCTTATTCTGCAAATATAAGTTTCATTGTAGTTTTTGAATTCTTTAAGACTTCTTCATTGCTTATATGTTCTGTCCAAAGCAAAAAATAACATTGGACCCAATATATGGCATTTCGCGGTGACAGTGCCATCTTCCATAATATAATGTCATCATGCGGCTCTGTATGAGGAAGACAGCATTGTTTCTTACATGTCTGTACACCATATTGGATTGTGCTACATTCGCCATCTCTCGTTCATGTTTTTTGTTTTTTGTTTTTTTTTTTTAAATTTTTGCTCTTCATTATGGCTCCCAAGTGTAAGGCAAACTTCTGGGTGATTATGTAGATGAGTTCCAACCTATGTTGAAAACCAGGTTACGTTGTACCATAGGAACAAATCTTTGATATAAGTCAAGGACCCCTGTATATGAAACTTAGAGCAAAAGGGTGATATGACAGGTGATATTTGTACATTCCTTATTTCTTTTTGCATATGTAACTCATCCACATTTTTATAACATTTGAACAAAACATAGACAGGCAATGAAGATTGGAATGGATAAGGGAGAGAATGCAAAGATACAGGCAAAGTGTGAGAGATAAACAAATGCAAAACATAATGGATAATTTCAATTATCTGCCCTTTTGCAATCTCCATGAATCCAATTCATTATTCTTATTCATTATTTTTATTCATTATTCTTATTTGTTATTCCTATTTGTTATTGTTATTCATTATTTAGATCATTATTTGTATTCATTATTCATTATTCGTTATTCATTAGTCTTTATTCGTTATTCATTAGTCTTTATTTTTATTCATTATTCTTATTTATTATTTGTTATTCTTATTCATTATTATTTATTATTCGTTATTTTTATTCATTGTTCGTATTTATTATTTGTTATTCTTATTCATTATTCTTATTAATTATTTGTATTTATTAGTTCTTATTCATTATTTATTATTCATTATTCTTATTTGTTATTCTTATTCATATTTATTAGTCATCATTCTTATTCATTATTCATAGTATTAATATGATCATGACAAAATAACAAATTTATGAATTTCACTTTCTCATCAGTTCTTTGATGTTCACTTTGCCAACAATAAATCTCTTCTTCTCTTTTTCTTTTCACTTCTTCTCTTTTTCTTTTTTCTTCTCTTTTTTTTTTTTCTTCTTCTCTTTTTCTTTTCTCTTCTCTTTGCTTTTTCTCATGCTCTTACCATTTGTCCACTGCAGAAAATCCACACTCAACTTTGCGATGATCATAGAATCTAAAACAATATTCCTTTCCCCATTAGTAATGCAATTTTTATATTCTTTTTGGTGGTCAGAAATTTGCACGTTGCCAGCAAAATCTTCTATTTGTGTGAATGTAACATTCTTAAATATTCACCTTATGTGTGGCCATCTTTCTTCTGGATTTCTTTACATTCAATGCATGTGCGCACTCTGTGTCGACAGAGAAGTTATTTTTTCTTCATTTGCTTTTACCTTCAGTTCTCCAACCACAGTTGTATTAAAGTTTATTAAGATCTTGGCAAAGACCATCCTTTTAACATTGTGGACTGACATTACATAATCACAAAAAAAGAATTGTACCAAATAAAAGAAATCACATCAGTTGAGGACTACCAACAGCAGATGGATAGCACATGTAACTCAAAGAGAAAATAATAACATAACCAAGATGTTTATATTTCACACTACTTCAAGTAAAAGAGGCTTATGGCCTCATCATGTTGAAACACCAGTTCGCATACAATCACCAAAATTAAGCAACTTTAAGCCTGATCAGTACTGAGATGGGTGACTATTTGGGAATATCTGATATGGTAAACTTGGATGCATGGATAGTGTAATGGATAATGGTTCAGATTTGTCAATTGGGGAGTCAAGTCCTAATTCCAGTTGGGTTTTTTATATTCACTTACATGGAAATTCCCCTGGGAAATCTATGAATCCACCTCTTTTCTCCACAGCTATGGGTTAAGTAGTAAGACTTGTATCATTAAACCATTATTCTTAGAATCTAAAACTATTTTCTGGCTTTAAATAACCTGCAAAGGGTTGATAAGCTGCTGAAAATGAATCACTCAAAAACAACTAAATAAAAGGTTAAGAAGGAAAACCCTTTTAATAGTGAAAACAGTGATAAAAAAAACTGTTTTCCTGAAAAATTGTTTCAAGAAAAAGATTTTATAGATTTTAACCAAAGTCTGTATTGGTTGTTTGGTCAATGGCTGCAAAATGTTTCCTTGGTGGAAAATGACTAATATTACAATTAAATAAATAAGTTATATACATCACCATTATCAATGGATCAACTGCAGTTGGATATCCATGACCAGTTTTATCTATACATTAGTCCTCCATTACAATTGGTAGTTGCTCCTTTAATAAATTGGTATCTTTATTCAATAGCTCAATGAAGGTCTCCCACAAGGTTGTTTCTCTTATATAAATGCTCAGATGGAAACTTTGTGAATGATTTCATTCTTGCTTCTCTGGCAATGTCCACTGAATCTTACTCTCCTCTCAGCAATTGTATCTGTATTTGGCAAGTCACCATTGAGTGTTTCGTTAGTCATATGTTGCTACCAACTGACATTTTTTTTTAAACTATTCTCAGCATCTTGGTATAACATTATACACTGTTATGTTATCAAATGCTTGTTCAAAAGATATAACCTTTTTATCCCTTAAAGATTTCACATTTTTCTCCAGTCAATAAAAAGTAAAGATAATAAATAGAAAAGAAGAAAAGACCTTACAAATAATGAAGAATATGGTAAGGAATTTTACCAATATCTGTTTTCCTGATAATCTTCTGATTATAGCATGATTATTGTTGTCAAGAGCATTGTCTGGCGGCAACATTAAAATCAATAGTTTGAGGCTAATACTGTCCTGTAGGCAGGGAATTCCTTTTCTAGTTATTTGCTTTCAAAGTTGACTGCGTACAGATGATGTGGTAAAATGATAATGAAGATGATGATGATAATGAAAGAAATGGTAATCTTTAACTTTTGTGCCTACAAAAAAAAAATGGTGTGTCAAAAGGACAGTTTTTTCCTTGACTCCATTATTATTTTAACTACCTTCACTCCTCAGCAATGTTTATTGTTTTAAAAAGTTATGATTAGAATTTTAATCGGCAGTGGCACCTACTTGCTTCAGAGCATTGGGATCATTATCCTCTTTCTTTATTCCCTTTCTCCTCTCTGGTGGCAGTAATGGAGATGACTGGGAAGGCCTAGAAAATGAAGCCAAAGAGAGTTTGATGATACCATTTATATGAATTTGATTTTGGTGGTCAACTCTGCATGATGGAGAAGCCCACACACTTGGCCAGAAATGCCTCCCTTGCAGGTTGAAGAATTTTAATAAAATCTACACATATGGAAGAGAATTTATACATTTTGTTCTTGAGAATTGACAACAAAAATAGTAAACATGGTTAGGCATGATTTCAATACTCATTGCTGCTAGATCAGGGCACACCAGCAGTACCTCACAATACCACCAGATGTTACATTTTATGTATCACACACTAGGGACGCCAGATCCATACGGATGCAGCCTTTTAATACATTTCCTCTTTTCTGTTGGTGAAAATCCAAGTTTATTCAGGTATGCCAAGGCCGAGTTGGCAATAAAACTTTGGCATCAAACTTTAATGGGAAATATATTGGTAGTCCAACCATTTCTTATACTTTGCCCTTGCATATCTTCAGACATTTCCAGTTTACGTTCAAGAGCTCAGTCAATATTTTTCTGAAAAGAAAACATTACATACAATTATATTTATACATATATCAATACACACACACACACACACACACACACACACGCATCCACACACACACACACACACACGCATCCACACACACACACACACACACGCATCCACACACGCATCCACACACACACGCATCCACACACGCATCCACACACACACACACACACACATCCCACACACACACACACACGCATCCACACACACACACACACACACACACACACACACACACACACACACACACACACACACACACACACACACACACACAGATATATGTGTTTTATTAAAGCTCACAGTCAAGGTTTGTTTTAATATTTTAGAGCTTTTCTCTTGTATTTTGCACAAGATAAATGATATTTGCTTTCGTTGTCTATAAAAACTGTACATAAAAGATTAAGTGCTTTCTACTAACATCAGTCATTTTACTTTCAAGAATGAAACCATATTAGGGCTGTGAAATTCAAGAAATAAAATATGTAGTATCTATCTATCTCTCTGTGTCTCTCTCTCTCTCTATATATATATATACAGTCTGTTCACTATCTATGAAATTAATATATATATATATATATATATATATATATAGAGAGAGAGAGATAATGAACAGACCGAATTAGATAATGAACAGAATTAATTATATAGATAGTGAACAGACTGAATTAGATAAATAGATAATAACTATACTTAGATTCGTAGCTAATGGCTAGGATTAGATAGATTGGTAGTTAATGAATAGAATTAGATAGGTAGATGATGAACAGAATGAATTAGTGAACAGATTGAATTAGACAATGATCAGACTGAGTTAGTGAACAGACTGAATTGAATAGTAGACTTATATTGGTAGATAATGAATAGAATTAGATAAGGGATAGACATACGTAGACTGATAAATAAACAGACAGGCTAAGTTTAATAAATAATGAGCAACCCCGAGATAGATATACAGAGAAATAATCAACATACTTAGATGTATAAATAATATATTTATTTGTCTCTCATCAGAGTTTTGATATGTTCTGAGATTCACTTTTCAATAGACAGTATTTTCATTTCTTTTTATATATCACATTTTTCTCAAAACATGTTAAGATATAATATGAAATTATTTGCTTTTGTTTTTTTTTTTCATAAAAGATGTCACTTTGTCGAAGTCTTATTTGAAGTTATTCACAAGATATAAACTTTAAGTTATGTTTGTAACAAATCATTTTCATTTCCAGTAGAGATATATACATATGTCTCTTTCTCTCTCTCTCTCACTATATATATATATATATATATATATATATTATAACATAAAATAATAATAGTAATGTCACTTACTATATAATTTGATGTATATCAAGATAAACAGAATTTCTGCTACTAAAGTGCTCAATAAGAATCTAGAACAGTAATTTTTGAATTAGAAGTAATATATTTTCAAAATAGTTATTGGAATAAACTGCTGATAAGTATTTTGTAAATATATGTTGGAGTTGGATGAGTCTAATGGTGATTACGAAGATGTTTGGAGTGATCATTAGCGATGGCAACATTATGTCTTCATTCATCTTCCCACACGGACTTAGACTCAACACAGAGGCCTACATCAAGTCACTTGAGGGGTTAGTGCTGCTCTGAGTCAAGAAGGTGACTGCTTGAAGACTCTATGTATGGCAACAGGACTTGGCACCCTGCCATACAATCAGGATAACCCAGTCATGGCTGTCAGACAATTTCTGCGACCATATCACACCTTACATCTGGCCACCTAACTCCCCAGACTTCAACCCCTTTGATTATTATGTGTGGGGTGCAGTTGAGTGAGAGACCAACAAAACTCCTTGTAACACCAAAGATGAACTGAAAGCCAAGATTATGGAAGCATTCACCAACTTAAACAAGGAGACCGTTCAGAGGAGTTACAGGAGATTTCAAAATCATCTGGAGGCTGTGGTTGAAGTCGATGGCAATTTTATTGATTAAATTTACTCTTTAGTATTTCAAAATATTTTTTGTGTACTTTTGGTAAATATATCAGTTAAAATGAGACATCAGTGTTATTTTTATTTTTTGCATAATTTAGACAACAATATATCCATCTCAACATGTGTGTGTGTGTGTGTATATATACGTGTGTGTGTGTGTGTGTGTGTGGAGGACAAGAAAATTATAGGTAGTAACCAAATTTCAGATCATAAGGTAATCCTTAATAGACCAAAAATAAAAAAAGATGATTTTTCCAATCATGTAACAACAAAAGGAGCTTATGCTGTAACCACATTAGACACACCAATTCGTTCACTAACTCAGTCACTAAATCTACTTTCAAAATCTACCACAACTCTAAGTGTAGAAGTCATAACATAATTTACTTATTAGAATGCACACAATGTCAGAAACAATATGTGGGTAAATCTGAATAAACCTTTCACTACAGAATCAATAATTATTGGAATCGGATTAAATCGGCTCTCCATGAAAGATTATTACCTGTAGGACAACATTTCTGCCTAGAAAAACATGATTTTAAAAGCCCTGCCAAATTCACTATAATTGAAAAAATAGAATTAGACAGAAAAGATAACATTAGAAAAATTCTAAATGAACAAGAAGACAAATAGATTTTGCGCTTCAAAACACTTTGTCCAGATGGGCTTAACCACAAATTTAACAACATAGATAGAATTAATGTACAACCCCATAAATCAAGCCCTATTCATATTTCTCACCCACACAAGACAAATATGCTCCCAGAGGTGTTGAGGTCTCACAACTATACTAATATATACACTAACACACATCATACATATTCCCAAAGAACAAATGATAACATACACTTAACATGCACACATCCCCTTCCCAGCAACCAATAAAACTGTCAAAATGACCAAGAAGGGAATTCTGAATCTTCCCAGCCTCTACCTTAAAAACAACTTAAAAGAGGCTGTTTGACCAACACAAGGACTGATCAAAACTAATGATAAAAAACAAATGAAAACTACAGATAAAGTTCATTTTCTTCAGAAAGTCATTCATTCCT